AACAACCATGAACGAGCACCAGGAGGTTTGATTACCAAGCTGTCCTGGACAACCAACGCTCTTTACTATCAGCTAGCATAGACATATATACGTTTTGTGACCATTTGTACGATGGACGCGATGGAAGATAGTCAATTGCCTCCTAGTCATCGAGCCTTTCACAGTCAATTGGATTGGTGTGTCAAAAATTGGTATCCAGCGATCCTATTCGTCGTTGGGAATTGGTATCCAGGCATTTGATTGGCTGTTGCCAGCGGTTGCCGGACGGTTGCCATACCAAGGCGCTTCCCATAGGCCGATATCTGCCACGATGGCAAATAACTATGGAGCACGTCACCTAAAGACCGACAAACGGCCAAATTCTGACCAAGAAATCTCGAGCTATTTTTTAAAAGATCGCCGACTATTTTTGTTTCATTTCGGCAATTATCGCATCTTTTTCTTGTAAAATCGAGCATTTGTGCCTTCTGTACTTCTTGTGGGCATACTTCGTCAGCTCGTAGTCGCAACCCAAATGGTATAATTCGATGAAATGTCAGCATCGACGAAAATACTTGCGAATCGACGGCAACGGGACGCTTTCGAGGCTCTTTGGTACGCAAGTTTCAAGTCCTTCGAACGAGTAGTCGCAGTTGGCCCGAGCGTAGCACTTGGCTGCCCCCAGTAGGCTTCGATGGGATTCAACTCGCAATGAAATTTGGGCAAGAACAAGCAGTGGTGCCCTGCGCCAGAGATCGTCTCTTGCACGAGCAATACCTGGGAGCGGAAGTCGGGTTGCGACGCGACGCAGTGCCTCGCGCAGCACATGAGTACCTGCATGAGCACCCCTTCGGTGGCCCTGACGTCGACATTCTCTTCATCCGTAGGCCATGCGCGGCAACGTCGATGCCACGCTCCAGAAATTGCTTGATGCCCTTGGCCTGGCTTTTCCTCAACTCAAAGCTCAAAGAACTTGAGGAGAACGCAAATCTGGACACATCGTGGTCCCTGAATGGTCTTAGACTTGTGGAACAACTTGAAGCCGAGTAAAGCATGTTGCAGCGTCGAGACGAGACATGATCGCAGGGACAGCGGACTTCAAGTACGTGGCAATACGTGCCATGGGCAAGCGCGGAGGGCTTGGGCAATCTCGCCCTTCTTGCGCCGCTTGGTGCGGTCAGCGTCGCCGGTGTAAACTACCGGGCGTTTGGGGCTCGCATTAACGGGGACCATCGGCCCGATCCCCGCGTTCTTGACCCACGTCTCGTCGAAATACGTCAACACCGTGTCGTCCTCAATGTCTTCATCCCGGGCTGCTTTCAATCACTAAAGCCTTTGGCGCAAAGCGACCACCAGCCCGTGGGATCGCTCGGGCGCTCTTGACACGTCGGCGAAGAGGCAGCATTTTGTGAGTGCATGTCCATCCCTATCGTCCGGATAAGACCACCTACACCACCGGATAGCTTACATACAAAATCCAAGGTATTTTATACGATCCGGATGCATTTCAGGGGCATATCCGGACAAAGGCCGTGCACCCCTACGGCCAATAAGTGCCCCGAGCCCATACATTTCTATATCAAGGTCACGGTGGTAGAACTTCATCTGCTCCGTCAAAACACATTCGTTTTTGATTCCGAGCACTAGGCTCGCTTCCTCTTGTCCAGATCTATCGATTCTAGTGCTTTTTAGCTTCTACGGATCCCTTCTGAGACTTTTGATAGCTTCCCAGTCGACATCAAATTTTGTCGGTCTTTAGGTGACGTGCTCCATACCGTCCATCGTCCGGAAATCGGGCATCTCATCCCGGAAAAACTCCGGGCGAATGGCGCCGGATTCCCAGATTATCTGCCACCTCGCCAGATTATCTGCCACCTCGCCTACGGTTCTTGATAGCATCGAAGCTGGGCACTAGACCATCATTCTCTATTGGACATATTGTCTGCAAACGAGACCATCAATCAGATGCCGCATCTCGGCGCGTTTTTCAAATTGACGTTTCGGAATTTTTTCATACTCCATTAGTATGCTTTTAACGGACAGCACTCTGGGCTGCACAGTGGCCTGGACATTTTAGCGGACTGGGGGCCGTCAAATTCTCTTTCATGGATTTTTATTTTTCCTCTTCAGGAATATAATGACTTAATATTTGTATTGATCATTTTGAATTGAGCATAAGCGACGCGTGAAGAGAATTCAGCGGCTACTTGTCCGCTAAAATTCTTGGCCAATCACAGGCCGAAGAACGAAGGAAAAGGGCGGCGTTTCTGCCAATGAGCGTACAATGAGCC